ACTAAAATTGTGCAGTTCAACCATTGCACAGTCCACTTGTTTTCCCAGAGAAGTCCCTGCAGAGTCCTGCAAAGACTCTTGCCATGCTGCATAATGTAAAAACACAAAAGTCACTCATTGTAATCCTCAAAAAAAAAAAAAAAAGGGGCAATATCCAGTACTGGTTTTGAATGCTCCTCTTAATCTAAAACATTAAAGGTGTTCTATTTAAAAGCAAGCTGCAACAGCAGCCATGCATTGACAGCAACGAGAAAAGTTATAATACAAAATACAGTGATCTTCTGAGTGTCTGAACTCATGAATGCTCACTAAAAGATATTCCACATCTCTGACTTCATACTACTATTCTCACAGTCTTCTTCAGCCTCTTAAGGCTTTCATAAGCAAAGCTTTTCTCTAACTGGTGCTCCTGTGAAAAAGGTGAGCTGATTGGACCATTGGTTATGTGCAAGAGGAGGGAAACACACACGGAGGAGATTAAAGCAATCTGACTGCTAAAGAGAATCCAAGGAGGGTTAAGAGATTAGAAGACGCACTTGTTACAGACACATTTACCTACACACTCAAATCTGCAAAACACATCCTTTATTACAAGAGAATGTACAGCGTGCAAAACAAATATCCTTTGTTCCCAGAAAACAGGAAACTAAACAATGATGTAAGTGCTAGAACAAAAAATTGCATTATAAAGAGCTTTTCAACAAACAGTTATGGGTGCAGGAGATGTATTCCTGTTATTACTACTTTATCTGCATATATAGACTTGCCTGCAGGCAAATCGGGGCACTTGAGGTGACTTTTGAAGTATTTTATCACAGGAAAGCATCTTAAAATCCTCTGAATTTCCTCCAAAATTCTTTACTGTCTTTTTTATTTGTAGGTGTGTGCGCTACAGGTAGGGCCCCCAGCCCAGATACATCTGACAGAGCAGTTTGTCGTCTGTGGCTTCCTGTATGAGGTAGTGGACGTGTCCCTCTATAGACAGAGGTAGACCCAGCACTTTATTCCTGCTCTTTATTACTCCCTGTAGACGCTGGTCGATGTCACACACATGGGTTTTCGCCTGGCAGAGAAGGAGGGGGGAAAGATAAGACAATACAGTGATATTAATACCAAAAATGTATAGATTAATAGATTATATTAGACATGCATGCTGCTCTAAATGCATGCAAACATACTTCCAGAGGCAAAATCCATGAAATGCACACACCTTTTCATTAACTATCTCTCCTGTCTCGTTGGCCTGAGCTTTAGAAAGTCCTTTAGCTTGTTTGCTCCACTCCACCAGCGGGTCGTGAAGGAAGGTCTTGAGCACACTTACAGGAAAAATTCAAAACAGATATTAGCAATTTGGAAACCTTTAAAAGAGTCACTATACAAGTTTGTGACAGAGAAAAAAAACACATGAATTTGAATTTGCATGCGAGAATCGTCATCACATATATAATCGTGTTTTAAGAGTCAAGTATTAATCTAATTAGTATTAGAAATCCACTGATTTCAACATGAATGTGTACTCATGTTATGCTACTTGCTCTACTCCTAGTGTTTTACAGGCTTGAATTTATTTATATACCACATTATTAAGTATTTATGTTTGTGTACCTCATGAGTGGTTCTCTCTGGTCTCTCATTAGTCTTAGGGTGACCTCACAGGCCTGTCTGAAGAGACCCTCGGTGCCCATGGGCCCCATGGCGTGGACCATATTCTGGGTCAGACGGAAGGGAACCACCTCAGGCACGTCGAACGTCTCCCCCTAGTGGAGAGGGAGAGAAGGAGCATTAGAGAAATGACTGAGTAGTACATGAGAATAATATATTAAACAATTTCCATGATTTTCTCTTGAAATATTTATAACATAAATGACGCCTAATTAATGTATGCTTTAAGACAATTTGAGATAAACACAAACCTTGTTGAAGAGGCAGTTAAAGTCGACGTGAACACATTCCCCAGTGAAAGAGTCAAACAGGATGTTTTCTCCGTGGCGATCTCCCAGACCCAGGATGTAGCCCACCATGGACATAACAGCAGTGGAGCGGCAGTACGCAGAGCGGCTGCTGTACCTGTAATCACACAGTGAAAATGCAATCTGTGAATTTAACCTGATCCTTAATGTCACTTCAAACTTTAAAAATGTTTAACCTTCCAAATACGTTTTAAATCTAGAACTGAAACTGCTTCTCTGAAATGTGGGAATATACGTAGACACACATCTAAGTGAGATAATTGACACTGCTTGTGAAACAGTGTTCCTAATAATGTAACTGTAGGGTGTGGGGTGGGTTGTACCATGATGTGGGGTCAGCGAAGGTCCGGAGGAACCACTCGTGGAAGACAGGGGGGTGTCGAGCACACAGCACCTCCTTGTGGATTCGTAGCTTCTCCTCAAAGGGAGCCGTCTTTGGTAGAATAAGCTTTCTGAGCTCTTTACCTGACAGGTAGACGCCTACAACACACATGCAAATATGGCCAAATTATTTCACCACAGTGATCAAGCTGACAGTTTCTTTTTATCACTTCCTGTATTTTTAGGCTTTATGTGGGGAGATACCTCTCTCCTTATACAGCTTGGTGAGAATGTGTCGCAGTCCGGCGGTGTTGTTGACCCATTCGATGATGCCGCACTCCTCGTTGAGGGGAATCACAGCGTAGGTTCGGATATGTAGCTCCCTTCGCCTTGACTCAGCATCTTTGCGGAGGCACTACACACACACACACACACACACACACCATGATAAAGTGTGAACACACATTTTAACTACTGCTTGTTCCACACCTTTAAAGTGCATGACGCATTTTACACATGTAGGTGTGACAAAGTGTCATTTTCAACTTCTGTTCATGTGTAATAAAGGTATTGATTCATATTTGTGATGATTTTTGAGGCTGAAATAAAGCAAAAAATAAGATCACACACCCAAACATAAGAACCTGGAAAAGTAGAATCTATGGAGAACTCAACTCATAAAATATAAAACAGAATATTAGATTCCCTTTCCCTCTTTGAATTGTCAGAAGTGATACATTTACTGTTTTCCTGATTCATTTTTCCCCCTTTTTCTGCTGTTGTAAAGGATGTATGTTCCTGTTAAGTATGGAGGTAAATGTGTGTCTGTATTTATGCACGCATATCCATTTATATAATGAACATAATAGCATATACCATGAAAAAGTTGATGAAAAAAGACTCACTTATCATATATACATAATTATCAATGTATCTATTGATTACTGTTTACTATTATAAAATATAAGGGCTACAACATACGGTGGTGTTGCACACTATTTAGAGGTAACTAACCTCTTTGGTCCACATTTATATACAAGAGGAGGGCCAATTAATACCATTAAAAAGATTGTACAAGTATAGGTAGTAAACCTTGTTGATGAGGCAGTTGAACTCCATGAGTCTGCAGTCCTTCCTCAGGTCATCTTTAGGTTTACACATCATGGTGTAGCTGCGCCCATCTGAACCTTTTAGACTTATCTTCTTCGGCTTCTGTAAGGATGCCAAAATCTCCACCTACACACACACACACACACACACACAGAGGTTAGGTTTATGAGGCATATACCCCCTCTAGTGATCATAAAATATGATTTTCTAAGACAATGTCTGTGTATGACTGAAAAATGCCTTTGTAACCTTGGTTGGTGAAATAAAAGTATTCTCAGGCACCTTCCTACCAAACAGAATGAAGACAAGAATCAACCATCTCTTTTCCCTTTCTCTTACAATGTCTTCAAAGCCGTCCAGGTAAGCCCAGTGTCCGGGGAAGGCATCGTGCTGTGTGTTTGCACCACCAGTAGAGGGCAGCGTAGGGATGAGGACCGACTGCAGCGGGATCAGAATCTGGCTGAAGGTCGGCTCCTCCACCAGGCGTTTGAGCTGCTTGAAGTGAACGCTCATGCTGAGTGTGGTGCTGTTACCATCGACCTGTAACACACATTCACGTGAACCTGCTGCTACCTTTATATAGTTTCTCTTTATGTGTCCTTACCGCAAGCACTTCACTTCCTGAAGGGGATCAATAAACGTTTATTTGAGCTAATCTAATCTTGTCTAACAATAAAAGATGTCGCTACAGATTCACTTAAAAGGATTTTATTGTGAACTTTTGAATTATGTGAACAGCTATACTTTTATGCTGTGGCTGCAAAGGCATTTACAGTATCAATTGAATAGTGTCATAAAATAAGAGACGCTAAGCAGTAATCCATATAGACAATTATTATAGCTTTGCTGAGTTAAAAATATAATCTTTTGAAGATTAAGAATTCAAACAGTATTGTTAACATCACCTTTATAAGCCTAAAATGAGCTTGGAATTGCTGTGTGTGTGCGTACCGGCTTGTTGCAGAGCTCCAGTAGCTTGTCAGTCAGTCTGTTGGCATCTCCAATGAATTTCTCTAGTGACTGTTTGAGACTGATGGCTTTCTTAAGGATCTGATTACACCGGTTCATACGCATGGGGTAGGAGGACTGGAAAAAATAAAAATAAACACACAGTCAGGAGTGCATTTGACATAATATATATATATATATATATATATTTTGTATAAAAGCAATTAAGTAGTCTTTCTGAGTTGATGCAGGTGCTAAAACATCTGGTCATTCAATCACACAAAATGAGAGATTTGTAATGTTTGTAAAGAGAACTGATCTAGTAAACCAGAAGTATAGTTAAAAACATGCACATACAAAAGTCAGCATTCACACACAATGCCATAAATACAGTATATACACTCATATTGTACATATGGAAATATGCAGGCAGGAGGAACTGAATGCCCTGAAATATTAAAGTGCAAAAGATTCAGTACCCAAGGCCCTATTATCAAGGTGACACATACACATACCTACACACCTACCTTGGAGACAGCAGTCATTAGCCACATAGCCTGTTGGGGGTACGCCAAGAAGACTTTGGCCACTATGGTCATGAGGACATTGAAGACCTCGTCGCTGGAGTGACACACCCTGGAGATGAGCTGGGAGAAGGCAGTCAGGAACTGGTACGGTGCCAAGTTGGCACAGTGCTCGCTCACCGCAGTGTTGATTTTCCCCAGTTCCTGACGCATCTGTCTGTCCGGTCGCCCGGCTGTGGTGGAGAAATATACGTAGATAGTATTTTAATGTGTTTACATATTTTTCTCTTTCCACTGTTAACAGCTCATAAAAAGCTAAAGAACAGCCATAAAGTGTTGGAACTCCTAGTGAGTTAGCCAGACACTGGAAATATGTTATTTCCCTGTGCTCATCTTTATTTCATTCTCACAGTCACTACTGGCCACCCACCTTTCTCACACTCACACACTTTGGCTCCAAAATCCAGCCATAGAGACAGCATGCGAGGCATAGCCTGGTAGATGTACTGGTTTCCAAACTGCAAGGCTCTGGGAAGAAATGACCCAAATTAAATCGCTGAAGAAGAAACTAATGAGTCTGCAGTGGAAAAATGTAAGTTATAACAGTGTTTTTTCAGCTTTGAGAAAGACTTAATAATAAAGTACCAACAGTGAGAACACTGACTTACTTTCCAAAATACGTGACAATATATCTGATGAGGTTCCCCTGTTTCTCCAGCTTGTTGTCAGTTACCATTGGCATCACTTTGTCATAGTACTTGGCCAGGTAGAAGTTTCCATCCTCCCACTCAGGAAGAAGGTTAGTTACATCCTAAAAAACATACACACACTCAGACTTTAAAGTGGGTCTGCAACTGCAACATATTTAGCATAATTGGTTAATCTGATTCTTTATTAATCAATTAATCGGTCAGCCTATAAAATGTCAGAACATTGTGAAAAAAGCAGCAATTATCTGATCTTCCTCTACAGTGACAATTCTCGGGCGTCCCTGATGGGCAGCTGCAACCAAGGAGTTATCTCAGTATCTTTTCTAGTTTAAATGTGTGAGTTGTAAATCCTCCACAGTGGTTTATTCATCCTACAACAATCAACGTTATTACCTTGTATGCCTTCATGATGGCATTGGACTCGAAGTTAGCAGTCTCCTCCATGAAGCGTCCCACCAGCAGCATGGCTTTGCCTTTGGTCTGCAGACTGCGAGGGTCCGTCACTAGCTGGTCATCGGGGAAACACTGGGCCACGCCCTTCTGCAGGACGATCAGGGCCTGGTGGACGTCACCCTGGTGACAGACCGGCAAAGAAGCTTTTATTGGTGTTGTTCTGTATGTGTGACATGCATCAGCTGATACTAATATGCATTTTAGTTAGAGATTGCATGCAAAACAGGCTCAGCCTTACACTGAGATAGTCAAGAGTTACTGATACTACTGAATAAAACAAATCCTGAACAAAGCATACAAAGGAAATGCAAAAGTCCTTTTCCCATTGTTTACAGGTTGAATCACAGCAGGCAAAACAACACATTTAGTGTTGAAGTATTACATATAATTTTCAAGAAAACCTGCTTCTTATTGTATATCGGTTGTATTTACAGGTTTACCTTAGACCAAAGCCACTTGGCCTTTTCGGTGACGAGCTCGGCCAGGTGTGCGTTCTCAGCGTTCAGTAGTGCATTGAAGGCAGTCTGGTGGTGTCCTGCCTTTCTGGCCACCCGGGCACTTTGGAGCCAGCACTCCCCTACCAGCTCCTTGCTAGTAGGCCTGCAGAGCAAACATAATGCCTGACTTGTGATGTGGACTTGTTGAGTTGGACACTGTTCAGATTTTCATCTTAGCCAGGAGCTCAGATTATTGTTGTACTCTCCCTGAATTGATGGTTTAATAGTGTGCACATATGAAGCTCAAGATGCAAAGCCACACTGCTAACAATAATGTTCATACTAAGGAAATGCTTAAAGGGGAATTTTGACATCTAAACACAAGTGAGAACTATAACAAAGTGTGCCTGCAGATGTTTCTACACCCTTACTGTGGTCCCAGGCTGAACAGGGCACGACGGAGGGCCAGGATTGGTTCCTTGGCCCTGAAAGAATTCTGGGTCATCTCCAGTCGATCCGACCAATGAGGAGGCTGCTGGCTGAGGCTGGGGGTGGAACATTCCCTCTGATTCTGCAGTTCAGTAAAAGTGTGCTCCAACTCGCTGAGCATGTGGAGCCTAAACCAGACACAAACACGATGATTTTGGACGCACGGGATATTGCTGCTGTCAAACACACAAAAACATGGCTGATTCCAAGAATAAACGGACACACACAAACCTGACGATGTACTCATATCCTCTCTGGTAGGTTCCACACTCATAACTGGCTGCAGACAGAGGGACGACCTGTTCCTTCCTCACAAGCTTCAGCCTCTTGTAGAAAGTCTCGGCATCCTGCTTTTTAGCCGAGAGCAGTAACTGGCCGAGCCGCACACCCCAGGTACTGGACTGTCGGTCTGGAGACACAATGGTAGTACAAAACTTAGTCACTAACTTTTATCTTTTTAAGTAGAAATGCCATTAAGTGCCACTAATGGTTCAAGATGTTGCAGCTTTCAAGGATCATCTGTGTATTTTATTACCTGAACTCAAATAATCTTCCAGCAGGTCCCATTGTCCAAGCTTCCAGGCTGCCTCCACTCTGTAGGTGTTTAACTCTGACTTCCACTGGTGTCTAAATGTTCACATGTATAGCTACATTCAGTGGACCTTTAACTGACTTACATGTTATTCAGGAGTGAAAGAGTCCATCAGTTAAGAAGCCATCAAGAGGTCAAGGCACAAGATTGACATGAACATAAAACAATAAAAATAAACATTCTCCACCTACAGTTTACAGCTGAGATGGGTCATAATATATGTGTGTCTCTGTGTGTGTGTGTGTGTGTCTCACTTGCTGGCCAGTACTCCATTGACCTGAGTGATGACTGTTGACAGCTGTCCCAGGCCGAGCATAGAGGTCATCACCCCGTGATAATGGCCAATCTACACACAAAGGAACAATGACAATGATGAAATAGGGAAAGACAGCTGACAGCACGAAGCTATCTTTTATCTTAATGTAAGCAATAATATACAGCTAGACTATCTCCTCTGACAAGATGTGGCCACTTCTGGACCTACTTTATATTTGCTGCTTGTAATGGTAGTGAGTTGAGAGCTGAAACTTCTTCTACTGTAGCAAGATTTTACAAAGCACATTTATTAAGTGTAACTTGGAGGACCATGAGATCAATTTATAGTTAATTAGTTATTTTAAGTTTAATGTATTTCGTAATTTCGTGCAGCCTTTTATTATAACAATGTTTTAAAGATTTGAGAAACAAAGCTGAGGAACTGCAGCCTCTTTCTAGTGTGTGTGTGTACCTGGTCTGACTCCAGCTGTATGGCCCGGTCGTAGCAGGCGGTTGCATCTCGGAGCAGGCCGATGCTCTCGTGCTCCAGTATCTGTTCCCGTAGCGACGGCTCCTCCCTCCTCAGGGCGTTGACCCCCCTCACCCCATCAGGCTCATGCATTGCAGCGTATAGTGTCTGCAACAGCCAATCATTACAGAAAGAATTCAGAGAGCTGCAACTTCTCCTTAACAAGGGAGATAATTCACTATTATTGTTTATTAACTTTTAGCTGCGTCACATACCCATGGAAGATATTTCATTGCTTTGAACATTATTATTTTATGTGCAATTTTGCTTTCATTTGCCATATAGTGAATTATAAATGAGAAAATATCTTTTTCAGTAATTTGCATTTAGATTTCAGCCATATTTTTCGATTGTGACAAATGATTTTTTACTACAAAGATGAGCTAAAGGAGGTGAGCAAGATGCTTAAAAGCGAATATTTCTCTCCTCTACACTCTTAAACAGGGCTCTATACAACACTAGAAATTTTTAGACACCTAATGAGTCAATGTAGGGTCTATATAGTCAAACACATGAAGCAGAGTCAAATAAATGGCCGTTAACATGCTGTCTGACCTGCAGGAAGGTGAGATGGTCCTGGATGTTCTCTTTGTTTTCTATGATGTATGCTTCAAAGTGCATGAGGGCACGAGTGTACGCTTTGGATCGCAGAGAGGCCTTGGCCAGAACGTCTTGTGGAATACCCTTCAGGAAGGCCACCACACGCTGATACTCCCCACTCTCTGCAGTAAGACATTTCAGTTTTTTTAACTTCAGAGTTAAGGATGTAGGTTAGTGAACAATGAGGACATATGCATTTATATTCTGTTCATTGAAACTAAGGTGTAAATATTTCTGAGCTAATCATTTGCTATGTCTTCATTCAATTGTCTGTTCTGTTGTCACTGACTTATGCAACACAGGTGATTCGATCTGTAGCCCGCTGATGAAACCTTTTCCATTTTCTGGCTTTCAAAAGTCTCAGATCTCCTGGAATAGCACTCAAGATCTGAAGCAAAATAGGAAAAGTCTGTTTTTGTCACTCACCACTTTGTCTGGGTTTGGAGTAGAGGATGTGGCGGCTCCACTGTGTGAGGTGAGACAACATGCTGAACACAGTCTGTATGCTGAGCTGTGATAGGCTGGAGGCAGTCTCCTGACAACAGCTTACTCCTCGTCCATCACCCTCGGTCAGCACAGCCAGCATCTCCTCCGTTACCTGGAAACAGGTTTGCTATTATTGCTAAAAGAAAAAAATAAATAAATCATGCCTGAACTTCTTTTGTATGTGATACAATGTGTCCTCACCTCCCGTTGCTCTGCAGGTGTGCAGCCCAGCAGCATGTAGAGAAGAATGTGAGGAAGCAGGTAGATCGTCACCTTGTAGTCGTGTTTAATAATGAAACTACAGCAGGTGAACACTCTGCTGGCCAGCTCATGTCTCACCTAAAACACAAAAACAGTCCCCAAAATGTTTATCCTAAGTTTATGTCGTCAAAGAGAGA